ATTTTTTATATTGTAGTTTAACTTTATTAATTAATACACAATTTGTATATTTCATTTGCTTTGGTCAGCAACATAAATCATGCTTCAAGCCAGGTGTGGTGGTGCACACCTTTAATCCCAGCACTGGGAGGCAGAGTTCAAGGCCAGCCTGGTCTACGTAGTGATTTCCAGGACAGCAGAGGCTACAGGGAGATCCTGTCTCAAAAATACAAAAAAAAAAAAAGTAATTTCAAGCAAAATTTTGCATTTGTCAAGAATATGTAAAATTTAAGAAATTTTAAGAAATTTTGCTCTTCTGTGATATTTTTCTAAGTTGGAAGAAAGGGATCAGAAATATTCTACTGTAAGGAAATGATATTTGTGGGAAAGAGATGTGTCTTATTTTACATATTACACAATATGAACATGCTTCCCAATCAATTTGCACACTTTATGTATCTATTGAAAAATTAATGTTGGTTAGGGGTGCGGCTCAGTGTCAGAATGGAATCAGCATGACTAAAGCCCTAGGTTCAGTTCCACTGCCCTACAATACATAACAAAGTATTTCATTCAAAATTTTAAGAGAGCTATTCAAATTAGATTATAAATATATTAGAGATATTTCAATATCATGAAGAAGGAAGAATTTTATTTAAAGGACAGACATAAGAGGGATTTAAGTGTTAGATGCAGATATTGAAATAAATGAAATTAGTTTCTTTTTAAAAATTTTTATTTCTTTTGTTTTATGTGTATGAGTGTTTTGCCTGCACATATGTATGTGCACCACGTGTGTGTTTGGTGCTCATGAAGTTTAGATGAGCATGTATGATTCCTAGGAAGCTGTTGTTAGTCAGTATATTCTTAGAACCAAGCTTGGGTTCTCTGGAAGAGCTGCAAGCATTCTTAACCACTAAGCCATCTCACTAGCCCCATGAAAGTAGTTGCTAAGTAAAAATATATCCATTGATGCCATAGTACATAAGAAATCATTTAACTATAACCTTATAAAATTTAAATAAGGATATAATTATTAAATTTACTAGTTCGATTTTGAAAAGAAAAACTAAAGCATAAGGTTGGTTGGTGTATATGACTGTGGGTATTTTAGTTTCATTTCCTTTTGTTGTAATAAAAGACTGAAAAAAACAACTTTAAGGGAAATAGGTTTATTCATCTTATGATTTTAGGATACAGTCCATCATTACTGGGAAAGTCAAGGCTGGAACTTGAAGCAAGTCACATCCACAGTCAAAGCACATAGAAAAATTAATGCATGGATACACACTATGTTCAGCTGGTTTTATCTTCTTTTTCACAATCCAGTACCCAAACCCAAGGAATACTACTGTCCCTGCTTAGGCCAAGCTATTCTACATCAATTAAGATCATCAAGACAGTCACTCATAGACAGGTCCACAAACAAACCTGATATAGACAATCCCTCACTGAGACTGTCTTGCCAGGTGATTCACATGCTGTCAAGTTGATAATTAAAACTAACCCATTAGAATTGGTTAAAGCAAGTTGATGCTTGTCTTTTAATCTCTCCATATTCTTTTGAGATTATTTCATAGCACAAGAGTATATTTATTGAAAATTGGAGCTACTCTTATTTTGTGACAAAAAGGAAGAAAGTTAGATATCACTAGGTAAAAACACAAATGCGTATTCAACAATTGTAGGAAAAAAACAGAATTAAGGTATGAAAGATAATTCCAGTTTTTGATGTAATAAGCATGGGCATTTAAATCTGAGAAACAAAAAAATTAATCAGATTATACTTTTCCATGGGAGAGGTCAAACAGTGAAGAAGAGTATATTGCATTCATGTTAGCCATGAATTGTTTTGGCACATCACCTATCAGCAGAGCCCCAAATCCAAGAGGTACCAATTACAGATAAAAAATTGGAAAGGTGGTTTTGTCAAGTTCTCAGAAGAAGGTGTCTTTTTAAATAGTTATTTCAAAATAAATTGGTACTCCTGATGCTTATCAAAATGGTTTAAGATTAGAGAATTAAGATTAAAGAAATAGATGCTTTTGGCCAATGAAGATTCCTATGAAAATCTGTATATCAAGATGAGATGCAATGCAAGCAACTTCAGCCCTCTATTTTACTAATAAGGCCCTCTAGCTTTTGAACATTGTCAATTCATTGTTACAGACTTTTTCGATAGACATTCTGCCATTGTATCTATGTTTACCCATGGGAAAAACGACTCTATTGTTTGATGTTAATGCTTTGTTTTTGTTGCCTTTTATGAAAATGTACACACTAATGAGAGATCCCAGATTCTACTTGTAGATCAATTTTAATTGCTATGGGAATTTGCTTACATGATGCAAAATTTTCTCAGTGTCGTTAATTGGTGCATTTCTCATGCTGCTTTATATTCAACTTTAAAACAGCAGAATTTGGCCTTTACTAGAACTACATTACTGTCAAAAGTAGGAGATAGAGAACAGAATCTTGAACTAGTCACAGTGACTTCCAGCCCCTGCAGGCAAGAGGTATGGAGAATATTTCATTAAATAAAATACATTTTCATTTCACAAGTAAAATACTGTGATTTAGAATGTAGGTGAGAGATAAAAAATTTTAGAAAAATATAGCTGAATTGATCATTATACCACCCAAAGTGAATCACTGAAGCACTTTGCATTTTCTCAAAATATTTTTGTATGGAAATTAAATATTTTTACTTAAAAATTTTATTTAATAACCACATAATTAGTAGAAGCATTTCATTCCACGTTTTCTTAGACATTTTGCATTTCACCTTGTCTTATTATTTCTGAATAAGGCATTTGGAACTTTCATTTCTGACTGATTGATAGGACGTTCATCCACAGAGAATGTGTGCTTGCATATAGGGAGCTACGTTTCTCCAGCTCTGCTTCCACCTTTTGCAATTTTTTTTTATATTTAAGATGACAGACGTTTTGCTCATTTTTACTGAATGATATTTTCAAATTTCTAGATTTATCATGATATTTGATAAAGTTTTGCAAACCATTTATTGTAAAATACAGCAAACCATGCATATTTGCCCAGCTTAAATTTTACTGTTTTTTTTTTAACTGAGAATCCAAATTGAATCCTGTAAACCGATTTAGTACAGATAGCACTACTGATATTTTAATGAAATTGCAGGCATTTACGGTGATGCAAAATTCATGTACATATTTATGCTTTTTAAGAATAGCCATATTTAAAATCTAATAATATATTTTAATTCATTTTTCTACATCATAATATAGGGATTTCCATGTCTAAAGCATATGATTGATAGGTTTCAGAAGGTCTTAATATTTTTAAGTACAAATTCTACATCCTGTTTTTCAATGTTGCCATGGCTTACCTTGTCTTTTTCATTTCTGCGTGTACTTTAAGATGAACTTGTCAAACAAAAATGTTGGAACTAATTTAGATTGAGAAAATGTTAAGTACGCCCATGAGTTTACAGATGATTAGCACCTCTATGTATCTCATATCTAGTCTTTTGTACATTTTTACACTAAGAATAGTTGTCATAATGAGAAGTTATAGAGGTTAAAATTGCTACTTAGCTGTGTAAATTTGAACAGCTCCTTTTGAAACTGGCTTACTAATTCTATTTCTTATAACTTAAGCTTAAAAACATTTTTAGACATAAATATATGTGTATGGACATTATTGGCACCATTTTAGGAAAAACATTCCTCAAAATAAAATTTTTATGAGTGGAACATTCTTATGTCAGGATACAATACAATTTTTTTCATTTTTAAGTAAATGACACAAAACAATAAGATGATCAGTGACTTTACTGGTATTTTTAATATTACAATTATAATACTACAAATTTGGGGCTAGAGTGATGGCTCATCTGTTGAAAGCACTGGCTGCTCTTGCAGAGGACTCAGTTTTGGCTCCTAGCACCCGCATTGTGACTAACAGCCATCTGAAATAGCAGTTGCAGGAAATCTGATGCTCTTTTCTGGTCTCTACAGGGCATTGCACACATGTGGAGTCCTACATACATGCAGGCAAACACTCAAACAGATGATATAAAAATAAATTAAATATTTAAAAATAAAAATACGTTCTTCTTGACATCTTGTTTCCAAAAAAAAAACTGGCTAACAATTTTCTACTTTAAATAGACACTTCCACCCATGGAAGTACTTAAACTATCTAGAAAATAACTGAAGTAAAGTATTCCTTATAGAGTCCCCTTTGCTCACCAGAGCTCTACATTGATAATATCCTTATGCTATTTGAATGGTTTAACAAACCTATTTAAAGAGTCAACTTTCTATAAGCAAAGTAATTTAAATAAAGCAGTGAGAAAGCACTCACAAACACTGGTCATGTTTTCTCTGAGAACTTTATTTTCCAGTGTATTGTGCCAAAACCCCAAAGTGGAGTCTGAATCTCTGGAGATACCAATATTTAGATCTTTCTTCAACCATATGGAAAAGGTAGGTGACAGACTATCTCAATTTAAGCAGTGATAGAGCCATGTGTTTCAGTCATTCAATATATTGATCATCTCTGCTTATCCGGATTTTAGTAGAAACTATGGAACTGACTTCTATATTGTAAGAATCCCATGTTCCATCTAACTAATTTTATTTTTCTTGATTCTTTTTAATAAGAAATCTATTTGTCTCCTTGTTCACTTATATATCCCTTGCTATTATAAGACAAAGACATGGATTTCAGGAGGGACTGCTTCTCTTCTTTGTCAATGGAGGACCAATAAAAATGTCACTCATATGCTAAATAGATCCTATCAATAACTGAGGGAGTCAGCTTTCTCAGGATTAGTATATCTATGAATTACTTCCCATGGTTTAGTTTTATTCAAATGTCTAAGCTATAAAAAAATTAATAATATTTACTAATAAATTCTGTTTCCTAATGATTCTTAAATTAATTGCTTTTGTTTTAGCATTTTTATACATGTTAACAGAACCCTCAGTTTTATCTCAATCTGTTTCTATTTTCTTTTAGGTAATGCTTGACAACCAATGGAAAAACAAAATCACTCCATGATGTCTGAATTTATTCTTCTGGGACTCACAGAGTCTCGTGAATTGCAGATTTTCTTTTTCTTAATTTTTACCATTATCTATATAGCCATTGTGCTAGGTAACCTCATCATTATCTTCATGGTGAAAATGGACCCTCTGTTGCACTCGCCTATGTATTTCCTGCTGGCTAACCTCTCTTTTTATTGATATGTCCTTAGCCTCTTTTGCTACTCCTAAGATGATTTATGACTTAATCAATGACTATAAGATCATCTCCTATCAAGGATGCATGACTCAGATGTTCTTTCTTCACCTTTTAGGTGGAAGTGAGATGATGTTGCTTGTTGCCATGGCAATCGACAGATACATTGCCATATGCAAACCCCTCCACTACAGAAATATTGTGAGCAATCATGTGTGCATCGGACTTGTTCTTGGCTCCTGGTCCACTGGCTTTGTACACACTATTAGCCAAATGGTTTACACTGTGACTTTGCCATTTTGTGGTCCAAATGTTGTGGATAGCTTCTTTTGTGATCTGCCCCAGGTAATTAAACTTGCCTGCACTGACACTGATATTTTGGAGTTTTTAGTCATTGCAGAGAGTGGACTACTCTCTTTGCTCTGTTTCATCCTTCTGTTCATATCCTATTGCATCATCCTGATTACTGTCCAGCATCGATCCTCCAGGGGTTCTTCCAAGGCTTTATCTACTCTTTCAGCCCACATTACAGTGGTTATGGTGTTCTTTGGACCTTGCATATTTATTTATGTGTGGCCATTCAGCAGTATCTCAATTGATAAAATTCTCTCTGTATTTTATACAGTATTTACTCCCCTTTTAAATCCAATCATCTACACATTCAGGAATAAAGATATGAAGAAAGCATTACAAAACTTAAAATCTATGTTGGTTCAAGATCAATCTTTTAACTAAAATATTGTTATCATTAAAAGGAGCACCATCATTAATATCATCATTATCCCAAAACATCAAGGTATATGCTTTAGTTTTAAAAAATGATTTATTTTTATTTTATGTGTATGTGTTTTGTCTGAATATATTTAAGTTCAAACATATATACAATGCCTGGGGAGTCCTGAAAGGGCATAGGGTACCTTGGAAATGGAGTTATGTATGGTTGTCAGGCACCATGTGGGTGGCATGAATCAAATGAAGATCATTTGCAAGAACAGCCACTGCTATAAATGGCTGAGCAATCTTTCTAATGTCTATTAGCATTTATAAAATATTTTACATTTATCTATTTATCTATAATTTATTTGTGTGTGTGTATGTGTGTGTGTGTGTGTGTGTTTCTGTTTCTGTGCCATGACTGTGTGAATGTCTGCAGGCCAAAAGAAGACTTCTGATTTCCTGGATGGACTTTACAGGAGGTTGTGAGCAACCTAACTGGGGAGAGGGGTGTGCAGAGAATTTAATGCATATCCTCTGGAAGTGCAGCATGTGCTATTAACTGTTGAGCCACTTCTCCAGCCAAGACAATATGATTTATAAAAAATGCTTTAATTATTATATGTGTATGAGTGTATGGTCTGTTTGTATGTAAGTGCACCCATGCCATGCAAGCCTGCAGAGATCAGAAGAGGGCATCAGATCCCCTGGAGCTGGAGTTACAGACAGTTGTTAGCCTCCATGTGGGTGCTGGAAATCAAAGCCAGGTCCTCTTCAAGAACAACCAGTGCTCTTAACCACTGAGCAATCTCTCCAGGCCTGACAATATGACTTTTTTTAAAGAAAAGCATTAAAACATCTTGACTTGTCTATCAAAGCACAATCCATTTCAAACTATCATTAATAGGTATTGTAGCTTTTTTTTCTATGAATTTAATTGTATTTTAAATGCACTTTGTTGACTTCTAACCATATATAAGGCACTTTCATTGCATTTTCCCCTCATAACAATGAGAACAGAGAGTGGCATTTACACATCGATGGGAAGCAAAACTGAGCTTTAGAAAATTTGGTGAACTTGCCATAGAAATTAGCTACTAGATTGAGAATCAATATGCTGAACCTAAAAACAACATGTATACTTCTGAATTATAAATGCTTTTGTATTTAAATTTAAATTAACATAGTTTTGATTTCTGTACCCTTGATTTGAGATCACAGCTCCCAATAATCTTTCTAACAAGAAGCAAAATAATTCTCTTTTCATCTGAAAGTGAAAATAGCTACAAAAACATTACAGTCTCATTTTCTTTCTGATACAACAGAAAGGCCCTACACAACTAGCAATGATTCCAATCATCCCAATTACCAAAGTGTTCTAGGTTTGCTGTTCTACAATAACTTAAGGAATACCACATCTGAAGCCTAAGCACATGTTATGCTGACTCACTCTATTTTCATAGTAAGTAAAAACTATGCAAAAATTAAATAATTATAAAAATTTAAATTAAATTCACTCCACCATGTAATGAATCACTGTCATCAGAGCTCTGGGTGATGATAAAGGGAAAAAGCAATGGACAGGAAAGCACGGAGCTATGAATATGAATCTCAGGACCTATTAGTAAAACAATGATTCTGAAAACCACAAATATTTTTTTCAAAATGGTATTTTTTTCAAAAATTCAAAGCCTGTTTTGGCTTTTATTCTTTTTTTCTCAAGAACACAATGGCCTAGCTTATAATTTAGTCTTTAAATTACAGAACACTTCTGTGGGGTTATGATCAAGGAAGAGACATCAACACCACACCGAGTTGGGCACAGCAAATGGGGATGTCATATTTCCATCTGGAAAAAAAACAGGAAAGTGCAGGCAGTATAGGCAAGTCATTAAACTGAAGAAATCATCATTCTTTGAAAGTTTAAATATAGTTAGAATGGTTTGGAGTATGCGGTAACCTAAGGGGAACTTTATGAGTATCCACCTATTAACTTGTGGCTCCATATTTTATTAACAGCGATATCTTTCTATGAAAGGGTGCTAGAAGCTGCAAGACATTGTTTCCTAAACTCTTGCAAATGTATTCCCATGAATTTCTTGCAGTGGAATGCACACAATACTAGATGTGGGCTCTTAGTAATTTCGAGTCCACTTTTCCTCCCCCAGCATAGTAGTGATGGAAGTTACATTCTACAGCTATGGAGGCCTCAATAATATCAGTCCGCCCCACCCTTGCTTCTTCTTTATGAACAACAAAAAAATCAATTTCCCATTGTTCCTTTCCCCAAATAGATTAAAGACAGCCCAGTGCAATATACAAAAATAAATTAACTTCTCAAACTTATTTCTCCTGTTCTACCTGTTTGCTGTTTGAGTAATGTATGTCCATTCTCAGATTATTGCTTGAATATAGAGATGAAATTTGACATCTGGTAAGTATTGTTGCACATTCTCTGATGCTTTGTTCTATGTTTCCCTTCTGCTGAGGATGCATAACTCTATATTTCAGTTTCTTTTTTCTGCCAACTCAGGTCTACTGATGAGTTCCTCTAGCAATTTCATTTGAATTACTGCACTTCTTCAACTTCACATTTTCCATTTTGTTCTGTAACTTCTATACATGGATTGATAGTCTCTCTTTCCTGAGTGCTTCCATCACTGAGTCCTTCTTTAGACATGGTTTCTTTCAGTTTTTAGAATACACTTACACTAACTGTTCTGATGGATTGGTTTCATGTTAAGTGCAATATTAGACTTCCATAAAGAGCTTTCTCTTCTTTAATGAATGACTTTTGACCCAAGCTGGATATTTTAGATAATATATTCAAGATAATTCTGAGTCCTGACCCTTCCCAGTGTCGATGTTCTTAGTATTGTTTGGATTGTTGTGCATAAAGTGTTGAGGACTAACTCTCTGGATTTCATTTCCCCTGCAGTGTTCTGCATCTAATAACTCTGCTCTGACTTTTGTTTGTAATCATTTATCCAAGCCATTTTGGCTTGTTATTCCTAAAAACAGCACAAGACACTTACTGGTCAAAGGGCTTTCTGACTTTTCATTTCCTTTCCTTCTTTCCTTCCTTTTCCCTCCTTTCCTTCCTTCCTTCCTTCCTTCCTTCCTTTTTTGAGACAGGGTCTCAAACTGTAGACCAGGCTGTCTCAGACCTCGCTAAGCATCCCACGTTAACCTCAAACTCACACCAATCTTCTTCCTTCCTCAGTTTCTCAATTGCTGAGGCTAGAGGTATGATTTACTACACCTGGCTGTCATAGGTTTTATTTTTTTCACAACATAGTTAGTCAGTTAGATTTTTACTATTTACTGATCTGATGGAGAGAGAGAGAGAGAGAGAGAGAGAGAGAGAGAGAGACTTGGAGGTTTTTCTAAACATTGAAACAGTTTACATTTCTGTAAACAAACTTACCAGAAATTAGAATAGTCCCTCTTCTAGTATTCATGAAGAGAGCACATATTCAGGCACTCATACATTCCTCCAGACCATGGACATTTATGTGATTTTTATTCTTTAAAAACTTAATTAATTTTTTGTGCATTTCATATAATACATCTTGATCATAAGTAGACCGTCTCCCCTATCTGCACCCCCTACTGCCCTGCCAGATTTCATGCATTCTGTCATATATGTTAAAGCCTATCAAGTCAAGCCTGTGTCCCCAAATGTTCCTTGGCATGTCTAACCACTGGAGCCTGGTCAACATATCTAGTGTTACTCTCTTAAAAAAGACCAACCCTCCCTCACCCAGCAGTAATCTGATGCCAATAGTTCCTCAGTTAAGACTGAGGCTTCTTGCTCATTTCCTCAGTTCAGTGCTGGGTTTTTGTCTAGTTTGAGTTTGCTTGGGTCTTATGCATGCTGTGACCATTGCTATAACTTCATATAAGCAAGTACTCAGTTGCCTGAAGAACTTTGTTTCCTTGTGGACATCCATCACCCCTGGCTCTTACTGTCTTTCTGCCCCATCTTTTGCAATAGCCCTGAGCCCTGGGTGGCAGAAGTGTAACAAAGGAGTCCTATCCAGGTCATGCACTCTTCTGTCTCTTATTCTCTAGATACTGGCCCATTGTGGCTTTCTGTATTAACCAACCTCTGCTGTATGAGGAAGCTTTGCTGGTAAGAGTTGAAAGATGTATTAATATTCTCCTTTAACCCTGTTCTTTATGTTCTCTGAGTCTTAAGTGAAATGAAGGTATGTCACTTAGGGCTGGGCATCTCATAGACATTCTCTGTGTTTGACCATTTGTAGCGCTCTGTAATAGTCTCCATCTATTGGAAAAAGAAACTTCTTTGATGAGTGCTGAGAAGTAACTTGATTGTAAAGTTACTTAAGAAGTAATACTTGATTGTAAATATAAAGATACATATTTAGCATACCGTGAGAAATTCCATTTGTGTAGGAATGTGAGAGATGTAGGTTTATTTCCTAGGATCTATGACCTTTCGAGCCATGTTTATTTGGCTATATTTAATGTACCACACATGTGATCTCCCACATTGATCATATTTTAAGTCCAATTAGATAGCTGTAGATTACCCCCAAATAAAAGTACTGTGATTGCACCAATAGAGAGCATATGCTGAGTCATTCGTTGTTGTGGTTACTTAGTTTCACAGCTGGATTGAACCACTGGTTGGTTTTTGTTTTTGTTTTTCCTTAGCAGCTTGTATACTATCCTCTGATACTAGGAGAGCTAGTCTTCAAGGAGGAGGCTTCCAGGTCAATTTCAGCTCCATTGCAAGTCCTTTGTCTGAAGTATGTCCTGTCTTCAGCAGTAGGGTCGTGACTTCAAGTTCTGGGAGGTAATCAAGGACTATGGCAAGAGCCTGTGTTATTTGGGAAGTCTCACGAACTACCTAACCAACATCTTGAAGGGAGATTTCTCCTGTTTTGCACTGTGTTTCTTGTTATAGCCTTCAACTATACACATGTATGTAAGAAATCAGGATGGCATGCTTTAGGGCGATATGGATCTGAAACTTTAAGATGAAGCTACAATCC